CTTTCCCCCTAATCATGTTAGCTTCCAGATGGATAATTCGTTTGACGTTCTATGTAAGGAAATTAAAACGATCTGGTATCATTCCGTCTCTACCGATACAGTTTGTTAATTCTAGTATTCTGCCTATTCTTCTTTGCTGCTCCCCCCCCAACACCATTATCTTTCCTGGGTTACTTAAAAAAGACCTTGTTATACTGCGTAGGGTGCTAAAAGCCTTCAAGATTCATGCAAAACGTTAACACATATTATCTTATCAGACTCTGAGCATCCTGTCTGTTTACAAATCTCTCCTTGTATCCCATCAGGTAGGTCAAACTAGAAGCAACTATAGGAGACTGTATGCTCAGACGACTAAGTAGGAAAACTTCACAATAGCTTATTTGACCGGGACACATTTAATGTGATGAGAAGGGTGTTTAAGGCAGGAGACACTACCAAATTACCAAGGAACTATAAGTAAACTGCTCTATTTTTTCCCATTGTTATATCGTTGTTTATAATTAAATTTTAAATTTTCCAGTCGATAGATTGGACTGAAGTGCCAGGTCTCAGGTTGAAATGTCGGCTTCTTGTACAAATGCTTTGACCATGTCTGGGCATTTAATTAGAAGTTGATTGGTGGATGATTACTAGCAGTGGAGTCCAGGATAAAACGCATTTTGTCCTATTTGGGACTCGTAATCTGGATGTACCTGCATGACCTGTTGCATAAGAAGAGGCTCTCGTGGCCCAAGGGGTCTAGTGGATAACGCGTTGGCGTTTGAAACTATGGGCACTGGGTTTGAGCATCGATGGGAACATGGGGATGCAGGTACGCCCAGTTAATTGACGAGTCCCAAATAGGACGAAATGCCCGTTATCCTGGATTTCAGTGCTATTTACCATACATCAATTAAAATCTTATATATTTTTTGCTAATATTTAAACTTAGTCTAATCATATGTTCATATTCATATCGAACAATGCTATCAATTTAAATGCCCTGTTTTAATTACTACCCTTGTAATGAGACAGTTAGATGCGATAGTGTACTGAAGTACACATCCTGAAAATTCCATATTTGTACCAAAAGTAGTGTTAGAAATAAAGCTGTATGCATACATATCAGTACTGACGGCTTCACCAATCACCTTCACATTAGCAACAGACACTTTAGAATAAATAGATTTAGACATGTTTCAACCTGTTGCAAATGTACCATGAAAGTAGTTAGATAACACAACCACAGTGTTGAATGCCTTTATTTAATAATTCATTTTGACATCCCTGTAATTTTGGAACTTATTTTATCCTTCATTTTTTTTTTATTAGTGATAGCTGTTGTGGTATATATATAACGCAGATTGGGAGAAGTCAGAAATTATTAGCTGGTAAGTGGATTCCCTCCTGGTGATTGAATAATCAGCAAGTTTGCCTCACAACTTGAAATTCTTAGGTTTCACACTTGATGGGTTGACAGGTGCATACACCTGAAGAGACCTAAAACTACAATGATATAAACAACAGTTCAGTACTCTGTGCTTTTTCAATGATTCTCCAAATGAAGTGAATTTGTAATCAAACTTAGGCACCTGTTTAAAACTTGGACTACGGAAAACATCGCTTAATATATTGAATATAGTCTATGTGATTTAGTTTGTTTAAATCTAGTAAAATATGACCCATAAAAGTACTTTGTTTACTTTGACAAGAATTCAAAATATTTACAACATGTGGTTTCGCAATTTTCTACTAAACATGAGAAGAAGCATTATTCTCAATGGAAGGCAGCCTATCACAGTAATAATGAGATAACTGTTCCTGACTGGTTTCTTTGTTTCAAAAAATGTACTCCTGAACTTTTTATAATTTGCATTTAACAAAATGTTGGATGAAAGTTAGCGGCCTGCTTAAATCAATGGGCTAATAGGTGAAATTACTTCCCATCAAAGAGTTTAATTTCATCTAAAATTTATCATCATTGTTTTAATCGTCCAGTTATATCAAATGGCCTCCAAAACGCCAGTGAAAATTCTGTTGATTAGATGAACATTGTTCAGAATAAAGCCATTACTATTATTATTAAAATCAATCTTGTCAACACTTGAGGAAAATATGGGCTTAAATCATCAGGTTGATGTTACATCTGAGCATCTTAGTAATTTAATATTACTGTTCAGGTTCTTACAATTATAAAATATAATATTTGTGTGCGTCGGTGGCACAGTGGTTAGGACTCTCGCCGACCATGCACATGGTCCCGGGTTCGAGCCTGCACCGACGCACATCTGATATCTATGGTCGGCCTGCAAAATTTGTGCTACCGATATCCATGCTGAAAATTCCATACTTGTACCGAAAATACGGTGTGGAATCAAGCTGTAAATAAAAAAATAAAAAAAATAAATAAAAAAAAATAAAGATAGCCAGGTATGCGGCGGATACATTTTTAACGTAGAATAACAGATTAGTTATGGGGTGTCAAAATAAATAGTCATATTTGTGTGACAAACGTGCTAGGCTGTCACACAAATATGACTATTTATTTTGACACCCCATAACTAATATGTTATTCTACGTTAAAAATGTATCCGCCGCATACCTGGCTATCTTTATTGTAGCGAACACAAATATTATATTTCATAATTGTAAGAACCTGAAGAGAAATTATTGAAAAGAATATTCTTCGTTCAGATTGACTTTTAATTCATAATATGGGAATATTTCACACTATCAAATCTTATAATATTACTGTGTCTATTTACCACAGGAAAAGCTGTTTTACGAGTGATAGTATAACTCGTATATAGTCTATGGCTACTAAGAGTACAGCTTAAAAATTTTGCGTCTAATGAATAAAGATATTTTTCACACGTCCAGAAATTCTTTTCCGCAAAGTTGTGCATGCGAGAATACTTACTGCTCCTGTGTGGAGCCAGTTACAAAGGTCGTACAATTAGGCCTGTTTCTCGTCGGATTTCCCAACATCACCCTGCATAATGGTTAAGTAAAGGACAAACAGAGTCCATTCATAGCGCTATTCTATCTCATCTTGTGGATACAGAACACAAGAGTGTTGTTAACAAGGCAGCTTTCAAAGTCATTTACCGCATACCAACCAACAAATCTTGATTTCGCCTTAAGAATTCGTCTACAACATATTGCTGTGGCTGGCTGTTGAGATACACATTAAGAAGCCTGATTTATGTATCCAAAAGAAGCTAGTTCAGACATTGTCCTTACCCGCTTGACCATCTGGGTTTGAATGATCCTTAATTTTTTGCAGAAATTTCCTTAATTTTAATTGTTATTCCATTTGCTATTATATTCTTATGCTCATTTTTATAATTTATGCATCTTTCTTTTTTTCATTCACGTGCCCAGTGGAACATAGGGCCTCAAGCTAGTGGCTTGAAGTATCCACAGCAGTGTTTAACTTTTACAGGATAGGGTTGCTAGCCTCATGCCCAACCTTTCGTCTTTACCAGCATTATTTCTGGTTTAGCGAGGTAAAGGAATGCGCCGACCGGGACTCGAACCCCAGACCATATGCCTTGTTGGCGAGCATCCTAACCGCTGTGAATCTTTAGTCAACTGTAATTCACTTGATCTTATTTCAAAAATCGATAGTATTTAAAAAACACCAATATTGTTAATGACTACTAATGTAGAATATTCTATATATATATGTAAAGCCAGAAGAGGAAATTATCGAAAAGGATATTCTTTGCTCAATTGTTTTGTTTTGATTGAACGCTAGTTAACTGGTGTCATGTGTATGTCTAGTCCTTTGTTTGATGCAGACTGAATTCTATAAGTCAGTCATGTGTGCAATGTGGTCACGTCATGCTAGGTGGTTGGCCATCATGGTGGACTGATTTGTTGTTATTAGATTGTTTAGTGCAATAGGCAGGAAAACCTACTGGGACAGAGGTTTCATGTTTGTCGGTACTCATCAGCCAGCAAGTCATATCTGAGACCTTTTGAAGGTGCTTATGTTCTTTCTGAGATATGAGCTCGCGTCACTCAGTGTTGCAGTCAGAGACGGTATCAATGGGCTACCAGTAGAGTAATACAGGAAGTCAATAGTGATGCTGAACAGCACAGTGGTAGCATCTCTGACTACAGCATTCACTGGGAGATACGTGATCGAATCTTAGATATACCTTGCTAACTGTTGAGCGCCAACAAGCATGAAACCTATGTCCTAACAGGACTTCCTGACGATTGCCTTCAAACACCTAACATACTTATTTTGTGTTGATTTTATCAGGGAGCTCTGTATCAAGTTATATTTGCATTGACAGTGACATCTTAAATTAATAATAAATTGTACACAGGATTTCATCATGAACTGACATCGGTTAGAGAACCATTGGAAAATCTCAGAGTATTGGAAAACTGTTTTATCCTATCATGAACTTGTAGAAGTTAGAATTCATGGGCTGGCTATTGAATTGAATCCCAGTGGCTTAATTATCTACGAGCTCACCCTGAAACCAGGAGGTTCTTGGATTTGAACCCCGATTCGTGAATATGGATGAAGAGTTCTAAAATAGATAGATGAAACAGATCTCCAGTACATCCTGGATGGTTTTCCAACGGTTATCTAAGTGATGTCAGCTCAAGATGAAATCCTCCAACCAATCAATCGAAACCCCTTCGAACTAATACTTTTAAAACTGCACATAATTTCTGGATTCAGTGTGCATATGAAGGGTTCACAATCAGACGAAATGAAGCTGAATTCATTTTATCCCACAATGTTATTGTTTTACAAAAATTGAAACCATGCAAAGGGGACTACTAACTGTAGCAAATTATTCTTTTAAGCTTCTCAAACAAATTTCACATTATGCGCACATATAAAAGAAAGCCAATTTCAGTGATATGAATAAACAAAATATTAAATAATAATTTATTCTGTTCAATATTCTTCACTCTGGTTGTATTTTTGTAGGAGAAATATTGAATACGCATAGCTGTCATTGTTAATATTTCTGGTGTAATAACACAATGAATTATGCACCAATGAGCGCCAATAGAAGTCGTCGATAATCTCCACTCGTATCATCCTGAAAAAAGAATAAAAGAAGAGAAGTTACACTGTAGTCATATCTACCGTACATTATATTATTATTGTTTCATTTAATTCCTAGAGGAACATCGAGCTTCAGTCACACGCCTTCATTAAATTTTGGTTCTCTGTCAACGTTTGCATCACTTGGATCATCACCATGTCTGCCACACGCTTCCATCTCCTCTTTGCATCACCTCCTCCATATAACCTCACCCTCGTACTGAGGACCAACTAACCGATTACCCTTTGGGTTCCCCTCAAGTGATGGCCTGTCATGTGATGTCACTTAATGGTTTGTTTTCTCAGAGTAAGACCAATCCACATCCATTTCTTCCTACTTATATGTTGCACAATCGGTTCCTGCTGGGTTGGTTCGCTCATTGTCAGGGATCCCTCAATATTGCTGATCTTTTCCGGCCAGTCATCTGATCTTGAGTAGTACTGAATGAAGACAACTGTTGATGAAAGCCTGTACTTTCTTTGAAGTGTCCTTCGTGATGTGACGCCAAGTCTCTGATGTATAGAGTAGCACTGACTTCATATTGGAGTTGAAAATCCGGATGTTATTTTTCATGCTGAGTGCTGTTGATCTCCACACAGACTTGAGAGTAATGAAAGCTTGTCTTTCTTTCGCGAACCTCTTTTTGATATCCTCATCAGTTCCGTTTGCTTGTACTTGATACGATGTTTCCCAGATCAGTCGGTTGGTATGTAGGTAAAGGAGGTTGCTTCTTTCAGATTTGATTGTATGGAGGATTTAATCATGGGCTGACATCAGTTAGAGAACCACTGGAAAACCTGGGAGTACTGGACGTCTGTTTCTCTAGTCCTAGTTTAGGACTCTTCAGCAGTACGCGCCCGCCGGGATTCGAACCCAGGACCTTCTGGTTACAAGGCGAGCTAGCTCGTAGACCATTGAGCCACTGGGACCCGATCCAATGGTCCTTGAATTCTAACTTCTACAAGTACTGCTGAAGAGTCCCAAACTAGGACGAAACGGCTGTCCAGTACTCCCTGGTTTTCCAGTGGTTCATGATTAAATCCTCCATATATGAGAAAGCTAAATTAAACAATGTGACAAAAAAGGATTTAAGAATGATTAACACAACATTTGGTAATCCAATCAAATTAGGATTACCAAAGTAGGTTAAGAGTAATAATAAACTGCTTTTGAATACACAGGGAGGCTTAAGCTTATAAATAGCTATAGCCTCGGCGTATTTCATTATGCGTCCTTGACCGTTTTTATAGATGACGACCTTAAAGGCTGAGTTAACATCAATCTTACGGTTCATCTCGACTAGATGTTTAGCTAAAGACGAAGTTGGTAGTCTGACCCCTGCATCTATTGGTTTACCACAATTCATTTGTTTTTCTAGCCATTTTGGGATATACTCTCCCAACCTCACGTGCAAAGCGCGATTACTCCTCCCTATGTATGTGTGTCCACAAACACACGAAAATTGGTAAATTTTGTGGGGTGTGATATAATCACTTGTGCACTTTTGAGGTTTGCAGTGGAGCATACTTGTAGCTTTTTCGAAAATTACAAGCTGGGCTGCATAATAGGTTCTGCGGATGGTCGAATTCAACCTTTGTCTCAAAATCCTACTGTTTATTTTCCCATTATATGGTAATTTGATGAGAACATTTCTTTCTTAGGGGCGGTATAGATTGTAGGTTTACAGACTAATTGACTTGTACACCTGTTTATATTAAATTAGAACCAGAGATGGGGAGCTCATTGAAGAGTAAATATTTCTTCACTCAAACTTCCTGTCTTCTAAATGTCTAAATGGGGATATTTTTTTGTGTATTCAAGATCATGTGTTAAATTTCTGGGAACATGAGTTCACTGGCTGGAAGCCGATGGACCATATTTCCGCATACCCTACCACAATGTAACTGTTCCACTTTTCAGTTTAAAATCCTCTACGTTATTTCAAGATTCAATTTTGATTAAATATATACCAAGTGTACTTTTAATACTTCTATGAAAGATAATGAACACAATATACATTTTAAGGAAAAAAAAACTTACGGCTATCCACGATCCAAGAGTTTTTCCAGTAAGACTGTGAAACTCTCTTTTTATTGCACCCATATCAATAGGAGATCGTGAAACAACTATACGAATTAATGTTGTATCTCTCGTTCCAGCTCCTCTCATAGAATCTCTGAGTTTTTTAGCAAAGTACAGGGGTTTATTGTTAATACATTTCACTGAAATTATAGAAGGTAAACGGATGAAAAAATAAATGACAAGGAGATTAAAGCAACAAGAAACTATGGGAACAAATCAACAAGCGAGAGCCAATTGCTCAACAAATATGTAGGAGAAAGTGGAGGTCAATTGATCGGGTATACGTCGAGGAGGCCACCGAGTGACATTGCACGTCAGGCCATCGCTCGAGTGAAATCCCAATGGAAAGTGACGAGTGGGTCATCAATGCCAGGGTGACATGAAGGCGATTGTGTAAGCAAGAGATGAGAGAGGTTGGTCGATCGTGGACGCGGCTGAAGAGGACAGTAGAAAATAGAAAAAAGTGCAGATGTGTTGTTGAAGCCCTATGTTGCATTTGGAACGCAAGCGAATAATAATAAAGCAACTAATGTTTTCAAGATTTAGTACGGTTGAAAGTGAAGTTCTGCAGACATTATTTCTGCCACTCACTTGTAGGATTTTACAGCCAAAGAGTTTGAATTGTACACGTAATCAGTGTTGGACTGAAAGTTAGTTTGAAGTTAAGCAATTTAGACTTGATTTCACGGAAACTTGATTTGAAACTAGGATAAAAGCGTAAGACTGTATTGTATCTGAATCCTTGATATCCTCTCTAACTAACTGGCTCCACGATTGCTCAAAAGCTCTCATCTCTACGTCAAACGATCTCCTCTATATCACTTTCTCACACCAAACTCGTTTTTGCCTGTCAAGTTCCACTCGGAGGTCTACTTGTCGCGCTTTGTCACTCAAAGACCTCCACGGTGTATATTGCAACTATCTCCATTTTATACATAATATTTTTTAGCCAATAGGTTCTTATTTGGTTAGTCCCACAGTTCCTTGTAATATAATTCTTCCTGGCCATTCAATCTTCAGTATGAAGTGAAAACGATTGCTGATGAAAGTCTACAGTTTACTGGAAATGTTTCTGGTGACGCGCGCGGCTAAGTGATCTAATATCGGCGTTGAAAACCCAAATTTTGTTCCTAATACCGAGTGCTGCCTATTTTCAAGATGTTTTCAGAATGATGGTCTGTTTCGTCTTCCCGACCCTGATTTTGACATTCCCGTTTGTAGAGCCTGTTGACAGGGATTGACGGTTATTGTTATTGATTGATGGATCTCTTCATCACCTCTGCCTCCTCACTGTTCACTTGAATTCCTGTCTTTCCTACTTCTTCTGACAACTTGTTGGTTTTCACCTGTAGGTCTTCGAGTTTGTGTGACATTAAATATAAATCGTCCTCATAGTCGAGGTCTTCTAGAGCAAATTTTCAGCCCAGTTTATGCCCGTTTTCTCATCTTAAGGTCTGCCGCATGATACAGTTCACCGTAATTAGGAATATAATCGGTGATGATAGGTAGGCAGTCTTGTCTTATTCGCGTATTCACTCCAAAATCCTAACTGAGTTTTCCGTTGGGGATCAACTGACACGTGGCATCACTATCATATAGCTGTTGAATAACACTGATAAGGATTTGTAGTACTGCAAGCCATAGTGTTGAAGAAGCTTCCAAATTACTTCTTGGTCAGCACTGTCTGTTGAAGGCCTCTTCAAAGTCGATGAAACTGAGGTAGAAGTATGACTGTTCTCTGTTCAACGGCGATGATGATGGGTAGACTTTCAGTTTATCCAGACATAATTTGGTTTCCCTGAATCCAACTTCTTTCATTCAGAGTTCTGTATCCTGAGCATGATTTTAATCCATCCAGTTTAGCATGATTTAATTTTTTGCCTGATGTGTAAAAAAGCGTGACTGACTAGTTACTTCCGCAGAGAACTTAGACAATATAAAGTAGTTTACCACCTAGTGGTGAAATTCACCTATTCAATGAGTTGTATACTTCCGAGCTATTTAAAATCAGTTGGCCGAGTGTGTTCATGTTCATATTTCATTGTATTCGAGTATTTTAGCATCCTCTTCTGGAATATTCTTTTCAAGCAAAAATGGATGAATAGTTTAAGTATATGTACTGGATCAACTAAACTTGCAAATTATTTCTATGGACATCTTTTCATCATTTATTTTATTCCTGTGCATTCTAAGAGGAGCATACGGGACTTCAAGTAAGAGCCTTGGAGTTTCACTAGCAGTGGTGTTTGTTTTCACGGGGGTGGGGTTGCTAGCCTCACACCCAATCTTCCCTCTTTTTCAGAATTATAGCAGGCCACGGCGGTAGAGGTGTGTGTCGGTCGGGAATCGAACCCCGGACTACCTTCATGGTTAGCCAGCACTCTAGCACTAAGCCACCGACACACATGGACAATTGCCATATAATGTCAGTTTATTTTAAAAATTTAATGTTTAAGAAACCATAATTGTAAGTACTCATTATCGAGGCTCTAAATGACCGATTTTGAGGATTTCACCTAGATTTCACAAGGTATTTCAGATCTGTAGAGCTGTGGCTTATTGGTTTAGTGGGTAATTGGTCTCACTGAGTCGGCCGAGTGTACAAACCCCTCTCCTTAGTTTGGGAATCATCGCAGTACGCACACACTGGGTTTCGAACCCAATACCTTCCACTTTAATAGCAGGCCAGCATATCATTCATTGACCAGACCATGAATTCTAACTTCTAACAGTTTGTGACTTTAGCGCGACCATTAACCATTGTCATCGGAGCGAACTCCATCTTCACTCCCAACTAGATGGACCTCATTAGTCAAGACCTCTCACTAGAACTCTAGGAAACTCCATCCTGTATAAAGTTACTAGCGAGCACCAAGAGTTGATTTGTAGGGATTTGATTTTTTTCGATTTGATCACGGATCGATATCATTTACAGAACTGATCCGGGGTCAAACTGGGAAATTAAATCAATTCTTGAAAATTGTACATATGTAATGTGTTCATTTTCTTGTGAAGTGAACCACCATCCCACTATACCACTCAAAAATAAATAAATAAAAACGAGTTTACAAAATCCCTTTACAGTTAGATAATTTCAGCCCGTAGTCATCGACAGGTCATCCCCCATTTCACTGGATTCTCTCCAATCAATATCCACAAGCTCTAATCTCCTCCTCACATGGTTTCCTGCATGTCACTGACAGATTTCTAACTCATAATCTCTCCATTAGGATTCCACTCAACTGCCTGTCTGCCCACCTGGAGCATGATATCACGCAACGATGTCTTCAGCGTATGTCCAATCCATCTTTGTAGATTTCGTTCTTCAAGTTTTTCAGTGAACGAAATATTCCCATATTGAGTCATACGAAAAAGGCACAAACAGCGAAGAAAATTTTCTTTTCGACGATTCATTTTCATGAGCTATACAATCGTAATTATAGTTAACAAAGAAATCTTTAGATCAATCAGATACTAGTAAATTTTGTCCTTGAAAAAATATTGTATTGCATAATGTAAGGTGTAAGACGGGATGACTAATTGTAAGTTAGAAAGGAGACAGAAGTTGGCATGACGTAGTAATTGTGAAATAATGAACGATACATACATTCTCTCGCCCTACCATGGCCAGAGTAAAGTTCTTACTACAATTTTGCTTCTTTCCTTCATTATATAAGTCCACTATTATTATTATTATTATTACTTTTATTATCATTATTATTCCTATCATCAACATTTTATTACCACTCTATTACTGTTTATTAATAACATTCCTTTTTCACACAGATCTTATACACAAATACTTTATAGCCTTTCCACTAGTTCCTGTCCCCTGTTCTACACGAGCTTATTGACTAGTTGGTCATTATCTCACACTTATCACGTACGTCATGCCAACTTCTGTCTCCTTTCTAACTCTCGAAAAATACCCATTTATTCATAAGTAAAAACACAGTTTTTGTTCAGCGAAGAAATTTCTTTTCAACGACTTCATTTTCAAGCTGTACAGTCGTATTTATATTACAGAAAAAGGTTATTAGGTGGCACTAAATAATTGCTCAGTCAATGTACGGATATATGTGATAAAAGTTATAAGGGGTAGAGTTGAAGTGGATAAATTACAAAAATATTAAAGATTGTTCTATAACAAAAATGTCAAGTGTTGTCTAAAAAATTATGAAAATTAGGAGTACGATTACGATAAGAATGAAGATGTGAAGTGAAGTGGAAAGAATTCAAGTGGTAAAATAAAATAAAAACTAGAAAGAACATTCTTATGACCAAGGTAAGGAAAGGGGTTTGACAAAACGCTTTTGAACACATAATTTAGGTTTCTGTTCATGTATAGCTAAAGCTTCCGCTAGCTATGCATAAGTGAAGAAAATGTAGACTTTTGGATCGATTGGATTTTGCCATGTATATAACTTTGAAAGATGAATCACGTGGGGCTAAATGACCAGATTCTGACAGGTGATCACAAATAGACGACTTTGCAGTTCTACGTTCGCCTTTCATTAACCAAACCGGATAGTGTTCAGCTACACGTTTTCGGAGATTACGCTTACAACGTCCAATATAAACAGCTCCACAAGAGCAGGTAAAAGAGTAAATGCCCTTAGATGTGGACAACTTCTAACTTACAATTAGTCATCCCGTCTTACACCTTACATTATGTAATACAATATTTTTTCAAGGACAAAATTTACCAGTATCTGATTGATCTAAAGATTTCTTTGTTAACTATAATTACGATTGTATAGCTCATGAAAATGAATCGTCGAAAAGAAAATTTTCTTCGCTGTTTGTGCCTTTTTCGTATGACTCAATATGGGAATATTTCGTTCACTGAAAAACTTGAAGAACGAAATCTACAAAGATGGATTGGACATACGCTGAAGACATCGTTGCGTGATATCATGCTCCAGGTGGGCAGACAGGCAGTTGAGTGGAATCCTAATGAAGAGAAATCTGTCAGTGACATGCAGGAAACCATGTGAGGAGGAGATTAGAGCTTGTGATATGTGCGTCGGTGGCACAGTGGTTAGGACTCTCGCCCACCATGCACATGGTTCGGGGTTCGAACCCCCGCCGACGCACACCTGATATCTATGGTCGGCCTGCAAAATTTGGGCTACCGATA